GGGAGGCGTTAGCTCTACTGCTGTGATTGAAGGGTTGCTGGTTCAAGTCTCAGCATCTGAGAGACTGATGTAGCTCTAGGTGGGTTGCAGGTATAATGAGCAGTTGCACACGTTTGCACACTTCCTGCCCTACTGTAGCTGTGTTTTCGAAGAAGAAACTGCTACTGTATAACCCCTGAGTGCCAGTGCCATAACCCAAATACAAGATTTTAAGCTGTGTCTTGGCGAGCCTTATACTGCTCTTTTAGGATTTATGTGATGGATCATCAAAGCCAGAATGTTTTAATTGCCCTCATCATAAAGATAGGATCAGTGTAATTAACACTACATATTTTTGCTCTGGGATGGTGTGATAGCACCATTTAAAAGATCAAATTTAAAGCGCAGTTGTGAAATCAAACACCCAATATTCAGGATTAGTGAGTGCGTGGAAACAGCAGACCGCTCATAACACAACCCTTGTTTGACTTATGTAGTCCAGTTTTAGTCACCGTCCGACTGGTGCTCAGGGACTCTTTTTCTCTCTTTCTCTCATTGTGTCCATGGTCATCTACAGTCTGGATGCATCTCTCAGCACTCACAGCCAGAAGCTCTTTGCTTAGATCTCATCACAGCAAACTCTTACGCCAGTGTTGAGTTTAAATATGCTAGTTTGTTTCATTCCCATGGTGCCACATACAGTATAGTATTAAAAGTATTGTATTTTTGTGTAAGGCAGCCCACCATAGAAAAAGTTATTTTAAATGGTAATAGGGTCAGTATCACCATAGAGTGCCTTTCTACCCTCACAATACTCACAAATTTTGGTCTTAATTTCCCATTCGCTTTATGTCATGTCATAAATAGTAGACACTCAAGTACTATAGAAACATATTAGCTGAGCTCCCACACATTTTTTAGATAATTATGGGCCATTATTCAAAGCATAAACCAAAAGATAAGTCCTCCCTGTCATGGACATATATATTACTGTTAAATACGTTTTCATTTTCACGTTTTCACGCAAATTATATTTTGTGAAAGGTATGATGTCCCTTTCATAAACAGGGTTATTTGTTTGCTTTCGAATTATAAATACATAAAAGATTTTATGTAAACCATGTTATTAAAGAAACTAATACAATTCGCACATGTATTTTTTTATTATTATTTGGAGAAAACGGTGATATTTGGATGCAGTTTTTTGTTTGCATGTTATTGCCCCAACACCTAGCTATTGAACACACTGGATTATATAGATATGATTGAATTATTATTTTAAATATTATTTTAAAATATCAAGATGACAGGGTGGACCAGCACATGACGGGGTGGACACATAAAGCAGAACACTTAAAGCATATCAAAATATGACAATGAAACATTTACTCAGCTTCGGAAAAAAATCATATAATAATAATAAATAATATAATTACATTCTCAATCACACTGATATACCCCCCCCCATTCATTTTAGCTTTTAGCAATATTAACTCGTTAAAGTCACCACACTACGGAAGCTTCTGCCGGTGATACAATTATGAAATGGTTAAACATTGACTAGCCTCAATTGAAACATTATTGTCACGAGTCCGAGTCGCAGCTACATGAGGAAATCGTTGTATGCTCTAACATGTTGGGACATATGGACTGCTAAGCACTCCTGAATTTTTTGTCAACAAAAGAAGCGGAAAACGACTTTCCGCAATAAACTCAACACTCATACAGGTAAGACCAAACAAAAGAAGTCTCTGTGTGTGTTTACATTGATTTCACTCTGACCACCAACACCTCAGCAATAAAAATATAGTTTTTATTACCAAATGATCAATACACTCAAATTGAGTAATCTCTTAATTAACAAAATATTAATAGGAGAACAAAATTTTACAATTTTATGATTTGACTATATTCTACTCTCATTCAAATTTAATGTGCAGTGCATGGGACATAGCAAAATAACACGCATCTTCTTACACAAAACAAAAAATGTAAATGTATCTAAAGAGCCATGTAATGCTTATGTTATGAATATAAAAACTTAGCCTAATATAACACACCCTTTCATAGTCATTTTTATGTTATCATGGCAAATGGGTTATGTATGTACAGGACACCAAAAGTTACCCTACAGTGATACTGACCCAATAATATTTCACAATACTACTGTTTTTTACTGTATTTTTGATCAAATAAATACAGCCTTGTTGAGCATAAGAGATTAGTGAAATGCATGTTTGATATGCTGGCTGAATTTGCATTGGAAATGACCTAGCACTGGTTGGCTTGTTATCTGCCATGCAGTGTCAGTTGCTATAATTTGGATGAAGTTGCCTGCTTAATTCCACCACAGCTTCAGCTTTGATTCAGCAGTCTGTAAAAAGTCTGCTATTTGCCAATGCTATGTTCTTTATGTTCACCCTTGTGATAGACAGAGTTTGAGAGAGTGAAACATGCAGCGAGTTGTTAAAATATTAAAACATGAAAATATAAGACAAGAAATCTTCGTATATGTACAGTATATTTAATATAGAGAGCAGATGACTAATTTGACTAGTTTACTGTCCATTTAAGTTTGTTACTATATTATATTAGGGTACATTATACACTCTTTATTCTTCACTATATCTTCAGTTTGTGTTTCATTTGTGAGTATTTTTTTTCTTACTGTGGTCAGGAAGTGTAAAAACTTTTGGAATCAATGTCCATTGTGAGCATGTCCATACCTGTTTGAGCTCGGTGCGTCAAACGTTGCTTACGCTGTGTGTACGCTTGTGACGCTGAAAAAGCAATCAGGTTAAAGTCACCACACTACGGAAGCTTCTGCCGGTGATACAATTATGAAATGGTTAAACATTGACTAGCCTCAATTCAAACATTATTGTCACGAGTCCGAGTCACAGCTACATGAGGAAATCGTTGTATGCTCTAACATGTTGGGACATATGGACTGCTAAGCACTCCTGAATTTTTTGTCAACAAAAGAAGTGGAAAACGACTTTCCGCAATAAACTCAACACTCATACAGGTAAGACCAAACAAAAGAAGTCTCTGTGTGTGTTTACATTGATTTCACTCTGACCACCAACACCTCAGCTTTTTTGTTTCTCTTTGTTCTTTCATTCTCTTGTTCATTTAATTTGTGTGAATGTTCTTAATTCTGTAGTGAAATGATCGTTTTAAGTTCAAAGAGCTCAGAGGAGCTCAAGCTCTTTGTCCCTACGTGATTTTTCTTTTACTGTCATGATGATATATAGCTAAATGGACTCTTTTCTGCCTCAGTCACTCTCCATCCTTTCATTGTGTCATTATATTACCATGATGGTTATTGCCCTCATGCTTGAGAAATGTGGAAAATGGGTCCTTCTAGTGTAGTATTCCCTGGGTCTACATCACTGCCTGGAGATTTGGGTTTTATATCCTGCTGTCGGCCATATGCAGGTGCTGAGTCTGAGCAAATGAAGATAGGAGGGTCATAGAGCCCCCTGATTCACTGCCCCTCTCTGTATGTAACATAAAAATTGCCTCTCTGCTAGATATATTTGATTCACAGCAGGTACTGCGTACAGTCTGTCTTATTGCGTCTCTCTCTCTCTCTCTTTGTATGGCTCAACATGGTTTTTGCTTTAACTGTACCTTTCTTCTTTCCTCCTCCTCCTCCTCCTCCTCAGTTCTTCTCTTCTACTTTCCTTTTATTTTACCTCTACTTCATTGGGCCAGGCTATAAAATCGATTCCTTCTTCTAGTTCTGAACTCATGTATTTTTCCAGCTGTATTTGGATGGGCACAGTATTTTTTTTTTTTAGCTTCTTATGGAGGAAGAGTTGCCTTTGACTTTTGTATTCATGTCCTTATTTGTTATTGTTTAGAAATGCACTGGTGAAACAAAGGGCTGTCAATGATTGCAAAGCCATCCTATCATTCAAAATGTTGTACACTACTAGTTACATTTTGCAGTCAGTACAATTTTAAAGAGATGAATACTTTTATTCAGCAATGATGCATTAAATTAATCATTTATAATTTTACAAAAGATGACAGACAAAAATGCTGCTCTTTTAAACGTTCTATTCATCAAAGGATCCTGGAAAAATACGCTCTAAGAGAGCAACCTCAAATTCTCCCCCCAAAAAATAAGTGAAGAAAATGCAAAAAATAAAAAAGTTTACAGATTCTGTCTGGCCATGCCAATTAGTTCTGCCAAAAGAAAGAGAGAGAAAAACATGTTTAGTTGAGGCTGCTGTGCTCATTAATGATTTTAAAAAGTGTCTCTTCTGGATCATCTCTTCTTTTTTTCTCCACAGAAAGTAATCGCTTCTTATGAGCACTAGATGACAACTAATTTCCTTAGTGTCAGAAAATGAAATGTCCCACAATGTGATGTTGCTCTTGAAAATAATCTTGTCAGTTGCATTGCAATTACAAGTACTTTAGATACATTTCTCAGTATTTCCTCAGTACTTTCCCAGTAGTCATATAATCATCATGCTGATTTTATGATGTCATATCTGGTTGCAAGCAGTTTAATTGCAGTAGCAGGTCACACTATATACATCTACTTTCAGTATCCACCCTTCATGTGACATTTCTGTTCAATGAATACAGAAAAGTTTAACATGTTTGTGTTCTTAGCAGCACTAGAAATGGAAAAATGACATTTACAGTATGCATTCATCACATTATCTCATGCTTTAGCATCATTCCCTGTGGACAAGTGGCAAATTTCTAAAACATTTTATATATTTTTTTCTCTCTTCTTCTTTCTTCTTCTCTTTGACATGACAAACATCAGTTATGTTATCAGACAAAAGAAAGATGTTTATCTGCAGTATGTGTCATCCTTCAGAAAAGCTTGTTTTGAAGCAAATGTGCTTTTGAAGACTTTAGGCAGTAGTTTTTTCTTTGTGTGCATGAGGTCTTCATCATCAGCCCTTTTCATAGGCCAGATTTGCCTGTTGTTTGAGTACTAGGTCTGCTATAGTCTATAACCTTAAACTTCCTTTGTCTCTTTATGTGTTTAGACTCAAGTGGCCAGCCTTTCTGTGTCCAGTGCAAGCCAGAATACCAGGGTCCCAACTGTGAGCAGTGTAGTGATGGCTTCTACAACGCCGACAGCATCTGCCTTACCTGTAACTGCAGCGGGAACGGAGACCCCCGCATATCCCCTCGGATCTGTCACCCGGACACGGGCCACTGCCTGAGCTGCATCAACAACACTACGGGGCCGCACTGCGAACGCTGCGCAGAAGGCTTCACAGGGGACGCGCTGGCCAGGAACTGCACTCCTACAGGTGAGAGCCTGCAGTAGTAAAACTTCTAGTGATTTTTGGCTGCAGTTGGGTATCATTTATTGATGTTTTTTTTTTTTATTCGCATTATTGCATCTGTACTTCGCATTCTTTTTTTATTCTGTTCATTCATATCATTTTCAACAGTTCGGTTAAAGCCGTGACTCTGAAACCATCATTTGTCAGTGCACTTCAGTACTGAAGAAAAGTGAAGTGAACCAATCGAGAGAGGTTGAAACTGATCCCACAGCTTAACTCTTTCTCGTGGACACACTGAGTCGCTTTCTCATGCATTTGGTGTAGTTTCAGTTGTGATTCACTTACAAAATTGAAACATATTAAATGCATCACATTGATGTTATCCAGCCTTACGCTATAGATCGTATAAACAGGAAGGACCTGAACTTTTGATATTAATATATTTAAGCAACTATTGTAAGTGGTGATTGAAAAGTGCTTTGTGTGTTATGTGACTGTGGTTTTTAGAGAGGGGGAGAGAGGATGTGTTGTAGAATGACTTATCCCAGATCGGTGTTCTGACTCAGAACATCCATCTGTACACTGCTGACTCTATCAGTGGCATACAGTGAAGAGGACAGGACATTCCCACAGGCAGGCTGACTCAAGGCTGCCAAACAGTGAGCTTGGACCACAGGGTGAATATATAAAAGAGAGAGGAAGAAGAAAAGAGTGATTTATCACTCCAGTAAGTCAGCCAAATCCACACTTACTTTTCGTCAATCTTTCCACTCAGCCAACAATAATAAATCCTTCTCTTTCGGCCTGTCTGAGCTCTGCTGCTACAGAACAACCATGTTTCCGCTCACTGATGACGTCCCATTATAGAGGTAGCTGCACTAATGGAGCTCCAAAAGGCAACATTGACTTTCGGTATTGACTTTCCAACAATGGCTGAAATGTCTCTGATAAAGTGTTTCCCATAATGACAGTGTTGTTATTGTTAACATAAAATGAAACTAAAACTTTTCTGTTTTTGGTAATTAAAAAATTCCAGCTGTAATAAAATAAAATATAAAAAAAATTTTCAATACTTTATTCTCAAAATTAATTACAAATGTTGCCTTGGCAACTAACTAAATGTACTAAAATTAAAACTAAAAAATAAACCTATATTGAAATATTTTTATAAAACTAATACAAATGACTAAAGCACATACAATTATTAAAACGTGAACTAAAAATTAAATCTGAAAATATAAAAATTAAAGCTAATACAAAATATTAATAAATACTTTAATAGTACATAACTAAAATAGCACTGCATGATGAACCTTACATGTTTTCTGAGGTAGGTTTTCAGTCTTTATGTACACTGCGTATGGTTTGACATTGTCTGTTCTACTGAACAGATGGAATCGCTCCTTCCTGTGAACCTTCTACCAGTATGCAGCATCTGTTATCTACATTACACTAGATCAGGGCTCCACATGGTACTGTTTTGCTGCTCTCACCCTTTTTCATTCCATTCCTCTTACTCTTTGTTGCTTCTTATCCTTTACTCTTTTTTGCTCTCTCTCGATTATTCACATGATGATAACTTGCAGTTCAATAATAACTGTCAGTTCGGTGAGTGAGTCAGAAGTTCAGTCAGACTGATTCAAAAAAGTAACTTTTTTTAGTCATTTTTTTAATGATTCATTAAAAGAACCAAATAAATTTGCTTATTGTTCAGACTAAAACTGAAGTTTGTTATCTGCATGCAGCCCACAAACTCGTTTTCTTACTAAGTCATGGTAAACAGTATTTTTTTCCATTGCATTCAATAAACGCACATTCACAATTTATATTCCGCAGCAGTACATGAATATCACTGGACAATCACTGGAGTTTAATTCATAATTTTATTCATTTGGATATGTTGCGTTTTATTAGATGCATACAGTATCAAACTGATCTTCTCTCTCTCTTGCCCTTTCCATAGTCGTCCACACTACTCCTTCAACCACTACCCACTGGTTTCACTACACCACCATGAGCTCCAGCCCCAATGCTACTGCACAGTTCACCACCTTCTCCACAACTTTGCTGAGCAGCCTGGGCAGCTCCACCCCCAACACCACCACCACAGTGACTCCGCTTCCGTGGAACCAGTTCAACATCATTGTCCTGGCCGTCATCATCATAGTTGTCATTGCTCTCTTGGCGGTGGTAGGTGGCGTGTACACTTACCGAGAATACCAGAACCGTAAGCTGAATGCCCCATTCTGGACCATCGAGCTGAAGGAGGACAACATTAGCTTCAGCAGCTATCACGACAGCATACCGAATGCAGATGTATCGGGGCTTTTAGAAGATGAAGTTAGTGACTTGGGCAATGGACAACTTGCTTTATCTGGTCCTGGTAGTTTGTATAAGGTGTAACTGATGTTCCTTCACAGAAACTGGCCTGCTACATCAGCGCTGGCCCGACGCTTGGCAGATTGTGGACCTGTGGATATGTGGACCCCTGATTTATTTTTTTCATTTTATGCTGATGGACCACGGACAAGGTTTTCCCACTGGACATAATCAAACACTCACACAAGCACTTCAGAGCAAGAAGACAAAGTAATGAATGAGGAACATGAGCAGTGCATTTAACTGAAAAGCCAAGTTAAAAAATCCTGCCTTGTTGAAGGCCTTGGCCGATTCACAGCTGAAACATGTTGCCTTGCTTTGAAGAAAGAGAAGAGATGCAGAGACTAATTCACTAATGTGTGACAGAATACTAGACAATAAAGCATGTCTGAGTGAGTATTAATACAGCGACAGTGAGAAATGCATGACGTTTTATCACACGTGGATAGATCAATCAAATGCATCTGCTTATTAACATTATTTGCATACTTGCAGATACGTCCATTCTCACGTTCCCTTTGTAAATGCTATTTCAAATGCACAAAGTGGACATTAGTTTTCAACAAACGTTTTATTTTGTTTTTTTCTTTGTGTGTGCAAACCACACCGTTTTAGTGTCGCTTCTTACATGCTATTACAGGTGCAAGACGTCAGGGGGCGCCTTTACACTGGACCTGGCATACAGAGCAGGCCTGTGTATTGTGCAATGGAAATACATTATACTAAATCAGATGCTGAATGATTTAAATTTTGGCAGGCGCTTTCTTGCCGAAGCAAACTGCACGGAGGGATGATTTGTTTTTATCAGGCCAAAAAGGATCTGTGTGTCAGTCTCAGATGGAGAGAGCCTGACTAATTCTCGTCACAGTTTTACAACAGCAAAGTGGATTTAGAAGACTGTTTCATGGTGTATGGAATTGTACTTGTTTTATTTATTTTCCAGAAATTTTCTCCTCAATCCACTTTTCCTTTGTGACTTTTCACCGGCCACCTGTTAAAAGGTGCCACGCCTTGTTGTGTGGACTTGACACAACTTGTCTGACTGGGAGTTTAAATTTTGGTTAATTTATTTGGACAAACCTCTCTCTCTCGTATTGATGGCTTATAGGGTCTGTTTGTGTGAGTCGCAGAGGAGGGGAACATATATGATCTGATGAGCAATAATGCTTGATGGGTCCAACAGCCATACTGGACAGTAGTCAATCACTGCCATTTGTGTAGCACAGGCTAAAACAAGTTGAGCAAATGGTTCAGTGATGAATATGTGCCCATACTTGACTGTGTGGATGTATGTGTGGGTGCTGAGTGGGGTAATATAATATATTATTATTATTATTGGAATTGTCAGTAAAAGAACCCATAAAAGGGTGTGTATGAATGAGTCTGTTCTTGATAGGCGATGGCCTGAACTTGAAGGCAAGAGCAATAGTTCATCTGTGATTGTATGTCAGATGACTCTTGGGACATCTACTTTTAGCTCTCTCCCTACTTTCACCATCCTGAAGCTGTCTTTATCGGAGGTGTGTTGGTACAAAACTATGTAAATATTAGATGTACAGAATGGTTGTCATGAGGAGCCTGCTATTGTATTGGTACATATGACAACGAGTCCTGCTTCTGTGACCAGCATACTCATGCGCACATGGAGAGACTGATGTCGTAACGGCGTTTTAATTTTGCATATGTATGCATTGTGCATTATGCATGGTGCACCACATTCACAACTAACTCTGTGAAAATTTCAATAAAAGCCAGTTTTCCTATAATATGTGCTTTCATTATTATTATTATTATTGTAACATTTCACTTTTGTGAAAAATTATTACTCAGTTGTATTTGAGGCACTGTTCTGTTTTTCAAACCAAACAAAATACCAAACTGCATTTGTCCAAATGCATGAGCATTAGTATTTTACATTATTGACATTAAGTTGATATAATTTTAAAGAAACAAAATAAAATTATACCAGATGCATTTTACATATTCTGCAAAACTAAGATGACCTCATTATGTACATCCCAAAGTCACCTGTAAATACTTCAGTTTGCACAGTTCCTTTAGTGAGACCGCAAATATCAAGCAAAGGTTAAAGCATGACTCCTTTCTTACATGTACAGTAAACTATATTGCTCAGATCAGTTTCTTTTTTTCTGTTCAGTATAATCATCACTTTCATCTAGACCATGTGTTTCTGATGGCATCATCTGTGTAAGAATCGTGATGGTAGCATCAATCAAGTGCCTGACTTCAAAGGTTTTGTTTTTATAACATGTTTTAACATCTTGTATTGCATTCAAATATTTATAGCCCTCCTCCCTTACATAGCACATTTGAGTTTGAGCAATATGCTGACGTGTGGCATATTTTCAATAGCTGAGCTATATAAACTGTTATGTTCTTGTATGATCTTGTCAATTTCTATTGAGCAAAAGTGGTTAGTAATAAGTGCCACAAAAGGAGTTCTGTTTCCTGTGTTTTGAGTTATAGGTCTGCTATCAAAATGCAAAGGGGGAAAAAAATACTTTTTTTTTTTTTTTTTTACTTTGGAGGTTAAAAGTTCATCTGACAACTGAATATAGACTAATATAAACAAAGACTTAAGTTTCTCTTCATACTGTCCTCAACATACTTAAAAGATTCTGCCATCTGGTGGCCAAATGAAACAAACTCTGGGTCTTCAGATGCCTTTGTCATAGCTGAAGTTCTTTGGTTATTTTTGTGAAAATAGTGAGTGAATGTAGTCTATAACCTTAAACTTCCTTTGTCTCGTATAATCATCACTTTCATCTAGACCATGTGTTTCTGATGGCATCATCTGTGTAAGAATCGTGATGGTAGCATCAATCAAGTGCCTGACTTCAAAGGTTTTGTTTTTATAACATGTTTTAACATCTTGTATTGCATTCAAATATTTATAGCCCTCCTCCCTTACATAGCACATTTGAGTTTGAGCAATATGCTGACGTGTGGCATATTTTCAATAGCTGAGCTATATAAACTGTTATGTTCTTGTATGATCTTGTCAATTTCTATTGAGCAAAAGTGGTTAGTAATAAGTGCCACAAAAGGAGTTCTGTGTTTAGAAGCCCATGCACAACTCTAAAAAACACATTCCAAAAATGTGATCAAGCCTGGCTCATACTGTGCGATTTTGGCCACGATTTGGCCGTCTTGAGACAAATTTTGAAAATCCTAAAAGATTCCTTTTAGGAAGGCTAAAATCTGTAGTCTTTGATCGTTAGTTTGACATGTTCACCGACAGCCGATTAATGGCCGTTGCGATCAAATTTTACCTCCGACGAAATTCTGGCAGTGTCAGAAGATTTGGCGCACAGTCCTGCAGTATGACTTCTCCTACGATGAACATCAAACTGTCTTCGTTTTTCAAGACAAGCCATGATCATAATTAATGCTAGAGATTTCTTCTAACCGCATAAACACCGGTTGCGCTGCTGTTTTCATGTGGGTGTGTAGTTCTGCTTACACTATTCTTCTTAAATACGCCGGTATCACCGCCATTCATATACTTTTAATGATAGCCAACATTACAGCCCGCAGTCACCGCAGTCATTACAGCAATGCAGCTCGCAGTCACTGAACGTGTGTGGGACTGTGGGTTGATAATGTAGAACTCCGGACAAGTTCTCTTGCGCGCACCCGTTTTTAACACGTCTTGACTGTCGCACAGTCTGACATTAATGACAACTGAGATCCCACAGTGTGACATGATCATCATGTTCATACAGTCTGACAAGTACAATCCTAAAAGACTTTTAAAAAAAAATAAAATAAAAAAATTCGCACAGTGTGAGCCCGGCTTAATCTGTTTTGATCTTAGTGGCTTGTCTTTGAGTCATACTGCAATCTTCTTTTATAGTTCTAATGTACAGAGTGATTTTCCATATCGCGACTTTTCTGAGATGAACGATTTGCTTTTGCTCAATCCTGAAAAACAATCCAGTGGAGAATAGCTGTAAAAGCCCCCCCACCTACTTAAATGTTCTCATCTTTAATTTGTACCCTTCTTAAAAGGTCAGAGGCAGATAGCTGGGGAGTATTCCTGCAATCGCCCACACCTTCTGGGTATCCATTAATGGGTCATATCAAACAAATATCACAGAATCTGAGTCACTTTTTTAAGTCATACTAAGTACATGCTGTCATTTCATTAATTTTTCCTTCAAAGCAAATAAAAAGCATCCTCCTGAAATAAGTGAACGTCTATAGATAAGCAAAAAAGTAATTCAACTTAGTTGTCTTCCCCATTTTATTTTTGCTGGCTTATTAATTTACTCTTGCCATGAATTAAAACAGAACCAAGAATTACTGTAGCCGTTCGTATAAAGCCTGGTCAAGACCAAGCGAAAGCCGCTGAGAGCTCGCCAGTGGGCGGGACTAATGTGCAAATCTGTAGTCTCATTGGCTAGTGCTCACCTTTAACGGTCTGCGTTTTGGTTACAGCATATCATTACCTGAGATAGGACGAGAGCAAAAAGAGACCGCTTTGACTATTGTAAAATAATGTTGTTAAATACTAACAGATAAAACATTTTACATGTAATTAACTTTTAGCATGTTCTTAAACGCTGACCTCATTATTGTTAGTCATTTTTCACAGAAACAATGTATAATGGAGAAATTATCTTTTGAAACCATAAAAGAGGTGTTATTGTACACATTAATCCACCCCTGCATTTGTCACCTGCTCCCTCGTATAAAAAAGGCTTGAAGTGTCATACAGAAATATGATGATAATGTTGATTATGTTTGCGATATTGTAAACACAATGCAGACTGGCTGTGGGAGTGATTGAAAACACGACTGATTTTCACTTATCTCCCGTCCCAGTTAACACTGCATTTTTCCATTTTGCTAATGGAGAGCATTTCAAGTGGAAACTAACTGTTGTAGTAGTGAGTCTTTCGTATGTCTCTCTTGCCTACCTGGAAATACTGTTGCCATGACACAGTTGAGGCTCTTGTCGAGATCATCCTTCAATCCCACAAACCCTGCAGTGACACAGAAAATATACCGTTTATGAGAATGTTTTGAATATCAAGCTCTGATATTGGCAGAATATGCAAACCTAGCCAACACAGCCTCCCTGCTCTAATTCTGAGCTTTAGCATGAGATCAGCACCCTCAGATTGTTCTTTAAAATCAAACAAGTCAGTTACTTCGCTCAAGTAATCAGTCATGACAAAACAGATATGCACATCAAATCTCGAGACATTTAAATTAATCTGAGCACATGATGCCGGAAATCAACAGCATTTAGCCAATCGAGTGCTGACAAGTGGAATCTGATGTCATTGTGGCATCACTGAGCCATGTAGGCCTTCGAAATGGAAGACATTTGCGGGCATTTTCTTTTACTTACTTTGATATCATCTGGGAAACTGCCCTCTTTTGGAAATTTAACTTGTGAGTTCTGTAAATAGAGTAACCGATAAAAATGAGTCATATAAAAATATATATGTGTGTGTATATATAACTGGAAAAACATAATCTGTGTCTGAATCAACAGTGAGATGCTCACAAACATACTGAATGTCCCTAAAGTGCCAGCAAAACCTAAACACGCACAGTGCATAACAATTTTTGCTGATGCTTCTGCTAACACCCACACCCAATGGGAGCACACGTATGTGGTGACCTTGTTTGCATGATTGATTACAGATATTTCTTATGACTTCCAGTCAACATTGTGGGAAAATACCAGATGGGTGGTCTCTGAAGTACTTGAGGTCTATGTTTGCTCTTAAAGAGATAGTTCTAATTCTGAAAAAAATTCAAATTCTGTCACCATTTACACATGTTGTTCCAAACCTGTGTCACACTTTATTCTGCAGAATACAAAAGGAGAAATTCTAAGGAATGTCCTGGTCAGTGGTTTCTGGAAAGTATTCAGACCCCCTTACATTTTTCACGTGAATACTTTCCGTACCCACTGTATATATATATATATATATATATATATATAAATGAATGTTACATTCTACTGTCCTCACTATTGTTGCTTTGTGATTTTTACATTATTTAGCTTTGGCTGTTAATAGTTTGCTTCAAACCAAACTATTCAAACCAATTCTGTCGAAGCAGGCTCGTCTGAATTGATATGCTGTGGTTTGGATTTCTTGCGCCGTGATATGGTAACCTACAACCATCAGGGGCGAATAGGGTTAGGGTGATGCATAACCTGTAATTAGATCATTAAATGATTCAATGAGTTTCATTTGAGAACCATGAATGAATCATTAAAAACATTTTAAACGTATAACAAATCACTAGACGATCTGATTCAAACAAATGATTACTTCATTGCTAAATTGCAACACAATCCTCACAAAATTGCACAAGTAGACTACTTTGTTACTTTTACAGTAATTATTGCAGCCTTTGGATACTTGATTTTTTCATTCATTGTCTTCATTCACCTTTAAAGCGATGCTCCAAAATGTCTCCTTTTGATATTTATACAGGTTTGTAATGACACGAGGGTGAGTAAATGATGACAGATTTTTTTTTTCTTTTTTTTCTGGGTGAACTGCCCCTTTAAGATTTATTTTCATTGTCGCTCTTCAGGACCTTTTAGGATTAAAGATTTAAACTTTTGTGTCTTAAAACACACGACTGTTCTCCATCCACCATCCACTTCACCTTATTTTCGTAGCTGTAGGTTTTACCCACTCTCCAGACAGGCAATCTGATAAAAGATTGAAATTACAAACAGTGCTGATAACTCAAATGAAACCAGATGTTGGCTCCGATTACAAGATATCAGTCAAATGTATGAAAGCATGCTTTAAATAGTGAAAGCTATACTTTTCTGTTATCATGATCGCATCCACCCTCATCTCACCCACAGGTGATGCGAGTCAATAGCGCACCGTTGAACGCGTGGGAGAGACTCAGCCTATCTCATTACAGCCGCGAACTTCATCTGGTACAAGAGTCATTTCTTGTGTGAGACTGCAGTTATTTCAACTTCTTGAGGAGCAGGCATGGATACAGCGCGGGCAGCCAGGGCGCATATTATCTGGACATTGATAGCTTTGGTCTTTATTTTAATCGCGTCGTGCTTGACGTATGTCTTCATGTCGAAGGTAAATATAACCGATCTACAGCCTCAGAATGTCTTGATTCTTCATCTAGATATTGTTAATTTGGACAATAAAATTACCCGGTGTTAAGGATTCTGTAGAAAACTTTGAAGAACAACTTTCTTTCTGCGATTGATTTGGTTGAATAAAAGTCTAGTAAGATAGTTGACCATTCTAGTAAGCATTCGGTTTTAACATTTTTATGAAAAAAGTAGCGATCCTCAGTTCACATAGGCTAGGTACACACACACACAGGGCAGTGCTTATCTTATCTTCGCGCTTTCTCCAACATTTTATGTGGATAGTTCATTTCTGGATCAAGTTGCAGAGGGCGTGTTTGTAAACCACGAATGGGTGCATTTATGTAAGCTCTTTGCGTTGGCTCTGTTTCTGTGCAATCTACTCTTCAAGTGACATGTCTTACTGTAACTTCAACAGGTGTCTGGATGCCAAAGAATTAGAACCGTGAATGGTAAGTTATACCTCAATATTACCTCATGTTTACATACTGTGTATTTTGTCGGCGACTGTTCGCGGCATTTATTTCCATTTTTCTTCACGCTAGATTGCTCATTAGGCTTTTTGTTTAAAACGGTATTCTTAGGGAGAAAAACCCTGCGTTTATATTACAAGTGCATCTTCTAGCCTGTATATAGTTAGTGTGCATCGTCAGTAAGGTGTATATTGACTTTGTTCTGTTTATGTCACTGTATTAGTCCATTAAGCCACGTTCAGCGTTTTAGAGCGTCTCTGTGGAGGGCGCAAGTGGCAACGGTTCTAAAATGAAGAACACTTGAGAATTTGTAATAATTTGTGATACATAAAAAAGATAGCCTACTTAAAAAATACTGTTGCTACGGTAACCTCCTCAGCGAATGCGACTCCTGTTGAAACTACACGCTCGGACTAACTTGTCATTGTCGTTACTAAATAAAGCGTTCGAAACCCCATTTCAAACGTGTAACGTTAGCCAAAAACTCTCGATAACTCGCGCCCAGGTTATAATTTGACACCAATAACCATTCAAAAGTACCTAAACAATTTTTTTTAACATAATGATTTAAACATAAGCTTTACTGCGTGTTTTGTAGTCAGTGAAATAAACAATAAAAGTTGATACCGCGACTGATATTAAAAGAAAACTAGGCTACTGCAAATGGTAGAAAGGTTCTGAAAGCTCTTACTGTTTGAAGAATCTCCATTCTAATTTATACTAGTTTAACGGTAGTATAGTAAATGTGGTTGGGCTACTACAATGGCAATGGTAACATGTATAGCCTAACTGAGCCAGTTGTGCTTTTTGTTGTGCGTGTGTGCTTGTGGGAGTCTGAGAATGTTTGGGTGGGGAGTCGAGCGGTCTCGCTGTGTGTTATGTAGTGTAATGCATTTTTGTGGTCTGCTTCAACGCATTTTCCTGTGCAGCTGTGAATTGCACGTTTAGTCGTGCAAGTTTTATTTGTTGGCATTTTTAACCAGCATTCGTTCAGCGGTGGAAACCTTAGAGATGCTTACTAATGTTTTTCTTTTTTGATCGCACAGTCTCTGCAATAGAAAGTATGTTCTCAAGAAAGTATGTTCATCAAATCTCACAGGAACACTGGCTTTTGACAGGTGATTGTCCACAAATTGTTTTATTTATGAAAGATGCTGATACAAAAATGGTTTCACATGAAGTCCACATTTCTCATTAAAAGCTGTATAATATTGAAATGACATAACGTAATATAAACCTCTGTGATTCTATAATGAAACTTCTTGCTACGTGTTTATCCTCTTCAAGCTCGGGGCTACAATCAGACAGGTGATTGGTTGATCTGGGAGGATGAGTGGCACGGATACAGGGATAAGAATGAGAGTATTCTGGACCACACCAACATGTCGATGATCATTCGAGAGAAAGGTGTCTACCTGGTCTACATACAAGTTAACTTCCAACTGAACCCACAGAAGAACAGCAGCTCTACTGTAGAACTCAAAATTTTAGTGTATTTCAGTTCTGATGGGGAGAAGCAGCTATTTGCAGCCGCACACGACACTCAGGTGGTGATTGACTCACCTCAGGACGCCAAGCTCAACACTTTCCTTCTGATGAAAATGCAGCCAACAAGCCAGTTATCAGTGAGAGTATTTCCGAGTGAATTTGTGAACTGCACACCACAACCCTTTTCCAGTTTTATCACTATCATAAAATGGGCAGATGACTGGTAGATTGTTGCATATATTGCAGAAGTTTTTGGCTTTCCAGGTGAAAACCATATCCATGTCCAGTTTTTACAATGGCGGTTGTTCTTATATTTTTGTTAGCTTTAAATGTGACATTTTAGGAAGAATGCGGTCTCAAGATCAGCTGCTAGAACACCTGAGATTTTCCAGCTGTTTGTTGTACTAGGAAATGCTCGCTGACATTAACAAGGATTGCGTGGGGGGTTGTGATACTTTCTTGGTGTTTTTCTTCTTCCTTTCGAAATATGAAGATCACATCTCATGATCTTCTCAGAAGCATGACACATTTTCCTCTCAACAGATATATGTTAGGTTTGTTTTGTTTCAGTTTTTTTTATGAGTCAAGATGAAAAAAGGGCACGATATACTGTTAATGAGCACTGACTTTGAAGATTCTCATGTATTACGTACATAAAAGATGTCATAAGTGCCTGCAAACGAACATTGTTTTACTAAACAATAGTAAGCTAATTCTGAGCAAGTGGGTATTTCTGCGGTGAAAGGCATCTTCCTGTGTATATATAATCATAGTGTTTTTTTTTAATCATCGACAGCTGAATGTAAAAACCTCTTAACCTATCTTTGTCTAGCATCAGTGTTTGACATAAATGTTCATTGTATCAAAAGCTATGGAGCAATATTTTGTGTAAATATGTGCTTCTTTTCAAGACAAGAAACCAGCTTTTTTTTCAAAGTTCTTGAAATGTGGAGCTAGTTTTTAGCTGTAAGCAGATTCATCCAGCCACAGAAGCATTTATTTGTTCATGCAGGGATGTCATGGAATTATTTTTTCTTATGGGGGTGACTAGGGGTGGGTTTTTTTTTCCACATTCAAAAAAACCCACTAGTTACACTAATCCAATCAGTCAAACAAGCCATATGAATCTGAACAACATCAGCTGTTTTAATAAGACAGCGGAGTGTTTTTCTTTTCTAGCGAGTGGGAAAGTTTCTTTTTCAAACCCAGTATTTTTTCAGTCAGGAAAATACCATTTATGATGATGCTTACTTTTTTTGTATTCAGATGAATCAAACCTGCTAAGTCTTAAGAATATGTTTAAATAAGAGACTAAATATGAATTTTTTTTTTTTTATGAAAGTTTTGTTCTTTCACAGCTAAGCCCTTACTTGTGTTGTAACTAACAATGTAATCGTTCACACTTTTTCAATTGACTACTTTTATTTTTTTTTTACTGTTCTCATATATGCAAACAATATTATATTTATGTAATTTGTAATATTTTTATTTAAACTAATAATTATAAAGTAATATGTTTTCCCTCTGCATGCCTCAGATATTGTGTATGTAATTTTCTGTACATTAGCAAACACCACACTTAAATAGAACTTGTTTCCTAGGTATAAAGTACAAAGAAAACATTCAAGTTAAACTAAAATTGTACAAAATATGACAGTATGACCATATACTTTGTCTGAGTTATTTGTTTTGTACTTGGGTAGAATAGCAAATTAAACATAAAATAATAATGCTTATAGAATAATTATTCAGAGAGAAAAAAATAGTTGATGTCAAACTGGCAGAACCATAACCATAAACCAACATTACATTGTAGGAGATTTTTGTGTGACAACCTAATGAGAATTTACTAAATGTTATCTAAATTTGTAATTAGTTTTGTTTCTTTATTTGTTTACAGCCATTAACTATGATTCCTAGAACATTCTGGGAATCAAAAATGTTTAGTTGAATGCTTCTCGATATAACATCTGGATGCTGAACAAGGAGGTCTATAACAGGTCCAGAAGTAAAGTGTGCGAGAACGGCGGATTTAGTTGATGTAGGCCTAGATGTAGCGGTACGTAGTGCCCCCCTGTGGCGGAGACTTTAAATCTGACGGAAAAAAGGTGAGTCAAGTCTGAAGCTACAGGGTTTCAGTTGAGTCAAGTTGTGAATTTAAGCTTTAAAGTGTTGCTAATGAAGAAATTGTGAATGAATAAATCACGTTTTTGTAACCGTCCTGACTGAGTAAATCCATACATTGGAATACATTAGCTTACATGGCCCAAAATGCTGGCACAGTCTCCTGACCTCCTGTGACCCTACAGAAGATAAGCCGTATGGATGGATGAGTGGATGGTAATACATTATGGACAAATGTAAATTAAAGAATTCAACAATAAATAAAAAACTACAGAATGTCGCATTTTATTTTTGGGAGTTTCAACACACAAATGTTTTACCAGCTAAGAAGATCAGCACTTTTAGAGTTCATCCCACTATCTGATATTGATGTGAGCGTAAGTATTGGGACAGTTGCCTCACAGATCTTTCTGAGTGATAAGCTGTGTCCTGCTGCATTAATTCCTCAGATATTAAAAGCAGGGAATGTGTCGTATCAGTTATATCCATTGCTTCCGCATTCTGAGTCTTGCAATCGATGATGGCACACAAACCAGGATGAAGACGAGGGAGCTGATGCTGAGAGAAAAGCAAGCAATTTTGATGTCAGTTAGCTACAGCAAAAACAAAGGGCATGGAGAAATCAAGAGTTTGGAGACCTGATCAGCTGAGAAAAACAACAGTAGTTGATGACAGACAAATCATAAAAGCTGTGAAAAAAAAATTAACCCTAAAATGTGGGTCTGTAAAATCACCAACAACCTCCAGACAGCTGGGGTGATGCTCTGACAATCTACTGTCCGCAGGAGACTTTGACACAGAATTACAGATGCTACACAGCAAGATGCAAACCTCTGACCAGCACCAAAAATAGAAAGGCAAGATTAGAGTTTACAAAAGCCAGTAGAGTTTTGGAACAGAGTTTTATGGTCAGATGAGACAAAGATCAACCTTTATCTAAACGATGGGAAAGCAAATGTGTGGAGAATAAAGGGAACTGCAAATGATCCTAAGCATACAGCCTCATCTGTAAAGCATGGCGGATGTGGTGTCATGGCATGGGCATGTATGGCTGTCTCTGGCCCTCTCAATTTTAATGATGAAAACATGTATGTGTTAAAACTGCTAATAATAAAATGTGACTGTAGTTTTGTCTCATTTTCATCTTTTAATCATATTTGCAAATGTCTCGACTCCACAGCAAACGGAGCAATTTTGTCTTTACTGTTTCAATACTTACGGAGGGCACTGTATATATATATATTTATATATTAGGGGTTGAACGACTTCTGATTTTTTGAAGTCGACTTTTATGTGATGAAAGTCGAGTCGAAGTCGACTAGTCGCTGATGACGTCATTAATGAACAAATAAGTCTGGAGCTGAGACAAACACCTCGTGCACAGCTACGGCTGTTGCTCCTATAACAGCTTTCTGATCAGTTCTTTTGTCTTTGGGTCGTTATCTTTCTCACAGATTTCTGCTCATTCTAAATCAGATACAGATAAAGTAGCACAGTAAAGATTACATTAATATGAATGCATTAGTGAGAGCGATTGCGTGTGTGAATTCATTCGACCTGGCAGCGTCTCTCTACTAGTAGTGAAGCTGTGGAATTTAGTTATTAAGAAATATATGCTTGAACTTTTCAGTTTCTAAGCTATTTTATTGAGAAATCACAGAACAGTGTTGACAATACATTTCCGCGCTGAATGATTCTGTGCGCGTGATGTACGCGCTACTGTCTGTAGCCTATGTGTGTGCGTTACAGTGCAGCAGCGCATTCGATTAGAACGGCGATTCATTTACCTGTACAATAATAAGCTGTTTAAAACGTGCATTCTCCCGTTCAATTTGTCACTTGAACTGTTTGAAAACGGTGCGTAAATGTGGAAGTCCTTCTAAGATTTCTTATCCTGTTGCGCCGTCTATAGGACCAGGCGTCAAGCTTAAAGCGTCATGGCAGAGCATTGAAGTCGACTAGTCGGTGCAACCCCTACTATATACTAATATATATATATATATAATTACACCAGATATGTCATTCCGTAGCTACTCATGCTCAAGTTTGAGGCAGCAATCGAAAACGATTGCTTTTAAAAAGATATCTATAAGGTAAAATGGATTAAAAATGCATGTACATAATCTTTCAGCCTAGGGTGAATATACATGAACAGCGTTTTGGGATAAATATTGTCAAATTTAATAGAAAACTATGTAAGTGACATGGGAGGGTTTTGCATACACTGACAGTCCAATGTTTTCAAATTGTAAAGACTTGGTACTAAGCTTCTTGTCCAGTGTCACCATAAAGCAGCATCAAGTTGGGGAGGAGTTAGAACTGATCAAAGTTACACTGGATAAGCCCTGTGTAGACGTATGAGTCACATTAAGGGGAAACCAGAATACAAAGACAATCAAATTTACACAGGCAACCAGAGAATATTGTTCAACTTCCTTCTGTCAACATCTGTTTGGAAAAATTTATAACTACAGGCCTACACCACTCTTTTACAAGTACCTACTTCTAATAGGTCTTGGGTCCTTTCAATTTTAAGTTGCTTTTGCTTCTCTGTTTTTGTTTTCTTTTTCTTTGGATCTGCAAAAATGAGTCATATAATGCAGGGGAAAATAAAAGCATCTGGGTTTGTTGTCTATGGAGATGGGGATTTTTGTTCTAAATTGTTTATCCATGAGAATGTTGACTGAAGGAAGTTGAACCATTTTCTCTGATTGCCTGCGTGACTATAGTGTGACCTAGTGTGACTCATAAGTCCAGGAAGAGTTTGTCCAGTGTGGATTTCGTCATTTCTCTTTTTATTCATATGGACGGTTCCATAGATGCTTTGATGACACTTTATAAAACACATTGGTCAAGAAGTGTCGCTCCAAGTCTTTACAATTAAATTTAGTGATAAACAATTTATCTACTTAACCATTTTACGGTTTTTAATTTTTTGGCAGTATTAGTAAATTGCAGTACTATTACAATCCCTATAGGGTTCTGCCATAAAACAGCTAAATTCTGTGTTTGTGCAGTCTACATCAATCCTGCATTCCAGTTAATTCATAAGTGCAAACACCTTTATTTATATAGCACTTTATACAATACAGATTGTATACTGATGCAAACTTCAAAAATGAGACAAATCCAAATTCTGCTATAAAACAGTTCTAAGACAATCATGTCTCAGTTCAGTGTTGGTTCAGTTCAGTTCAATAACTATATAAAGTCAATCAATTAATTTCAATTCGGCGATAAGCAGCTCAACTAATCACTAGTATCATTTGAAGCTTGAATCAGTTCGAGATTCATTCAGTTCAGTTCAATGACAGTTGATGTTGCAAAAATTGTCAATTTTAAACAAATTAAATTTAGCTATAAAGTAAGTTTACAGAAGACAATAGTGTCATTCAACTCAATTCAGTTTTGTTCTCATTTGATAACGTTAGTTCTGTCAAATTGATGATATTACTGAGAACTGTGTTCTTTAAACCTCAACTAAGCAAGCCAAAAGTGCAAGGAACTCAAACTCCATCAGGTGACAGAAATGGAGGAAAAAAGCTTGAGAGAAACCAGGCTCAGTTAGGGGTCCAGTTTTCCTGTGGCTAAATGAGCCAGCACAGTATGATTTATGAGCCTGCGTTACACGTCAGATTTGAGTGGATGTTATTGACTAAGATTTTTTATCCATCTCTTTTTGCTTGAAGAGATCACACAGGCATTAGGGTGGGATAACACTGGCTTTAGGTGGAAAGGAAGAGTTGGACAGAGCAGTCTGTCCAGCAGATTGAAATATGTAGAGCTTCCATCGAGCATTTGTACTTTCATTAGTTGCACCATGTAAAGGGGGCTTGCTTATTAATGTCCATAAATAACTGACCATGCCACAAATATCAGATCCAGCCCCAGACACCAGATCCTGTCAGAAAATATCAGTTTTGTCTGTTAACAGATAAACTTGTCAGCACTAGCCAAAACCCATTAATAGGAAGTCTTGTCTCGTACCCAAAACTCTATTGTCTTCTATCAGCCAAGAGTTGACTGAGTAAAGCCAGAGAAGAGCAGGAGACAAAGTAATGGTGGTAAAAAGGAGCAGAGCTTATTGGATAATCTTAGTTCTGTCATGACAACTCTCGGAGGGATTGGCATGGTAATGTACATGACAATGTTAAAGTATTTGGTCTTGGCGGAATAGATCACTGGTAGAAATAGGAGGAGGAGAAGACTCAGGTGGTGCTCCAGTTAAAAAAAATGAAATATACATGTAAATTGAGATATA